GGGCGGGGGAGGGAGTACCTCCGGCTCGTCTCTCTCGCGGTAGGCCTTAACGCGCGCCAGCGAGAGGTAGAAAGGGAGGCCCACCCCCTCCTTGGCCACGCGCACGCCCTGCCGCTGCGGGTAGAAGCCGAGCGCGAGCCCGCTGATCGACCGCCGGTCCAGTTCCGGCGCGCCGCCCGCCTGTCCACACACACCCTCGAGACTGTGAAGAGATGCGCCGTGCAGACCGCCGGTCCCAGCGCCGCCGCGCCGCCCGCCTGCACCGGCTTGCCGTCGCGGTACGGCGCGAAGCCGGCGAAAGGCAGGCGGGCGGTGGTGAAACCCTTTGCGCGCGTCCGAAAGTCGTGCCTGCGCGCGTGGGCGGCGGCGGCGGCTCCTTCGGCCGTCTCGGGCGATCTCGGTGCGGCCTCGGGGAATCTCGGCCAATCGTGGCCAGTCGTGGCCAGTCTCGTGGCAATCTCGGGGCAGTCTCGCTCTCGGCTCGCTCTCGGCTCGATAGCTCGATCTCGGCTCGATCTCGGCTCGATAGCTCGATCTCGGCTCGATCTCGGCTCGATCTCGGCGCCTGTACTCTAGCCCGTCCAGCTCGTACGCGCTCGTCCGAACCACCATCGTGTAGACCTGCCCGTCGCCGCTCGCCTGGGGGACACGTCTCGGACACGTCTCGGACACGTCACGGGCATGTCTGGGACACATGTCTCGGACATGTCTCGGACACGTGCGCCGTGCTGTGCCTGCACGCCCGCACGCCCCCGTGATCTCGGCGGCATCTCGGCTGCATCTCGGCGGCATCTCGGCGGCATCTCGGCTGCATCTCGGCTGCATCTCGGCCTTGAGCAGCAAGCCCGAGTACTCGCCCAGCTCGAGCCCCGCCTCGCCTGCCCACAACAGAACGCGCGTCAAGACGCCTCGCGTCGCCAGAGCCCCCGCCCTCGCCCCTCGCCCTCGCCCTCGCCCTCGCCCTCGCCCTCGCCCTCGCCGTCGTCGGCGTCCATGCCCGCCGCCGCCGCTCGCGCCGCCGCGTCCGCCGCCGCCTCCGCCGCCGCCCGCGCCCCCACATCGTCCACTACCGCAGCGATCCCGCCGTCGGCCGCCGCCCGCGCCGCCTCCCGCCCCCCCTCGCCTGCGCGGGAAGGGTCCGGGAAGGGTCCGGGAAGGGTCCGGGAAGGGTCCGGGAAGGGTCCGGGAAGGGTCCGGGAAGGGTCCGGGAAGGGTGTGTGGAAGGGTCCCCGTTGTGGTCGGCCGCCGTCGCCTCCGAGGGATGCCTCGAGGGATGCCTCGACCTCGAGCTCCGGTGCGGGCGCCTAGTCACCATCACCCTCACCCTCACCCCCACCACTCGCCATGAGACTCACAATGATGGCCCCTCTCTTCGAGCTCTGCGCGCCTACTCCAGACAGCGTCGACACGAGTCAAGCCAGCCGCACTCTTCGGCCAGCGACGCCTCCCCCTTCCACGGCGGCTGCGTCGAGGAACGAGCACTGCACCACCGCCGCGCCGAGGTACGTGTCGTACACGGTGCCGACGAATACGCCTACGCACACCTCGCCCTCCCTCCGTCACAGCTCGCCGCCGCGCGCCGCGCACTCTCGCCGACAGCGCGCTGCGCCGTTGGGGTGTGCGTCCGATCGCTTCCAGTACGCCACCGCCCTGCGCGCGGAGGAGAGGCCGGCGGCGGCGAGCCGCGCGCCGAGGTCGTCGTCGGCGGGCTGCAGCTGCCACGCGTCAAAGTCGGCCTAAAGAGAAAAAGGCGCCGAGCGTGAGGCGCGACGCGCGTGTGCAGTGCTGCAGCTTGCCGGCGTGCGGGCTGCGTCGCGGCGAAACTTGAAGAGGGAGAGCTTGGTCGCCTCGGCGGCGCCGTACGAGAAGGTGCGCGTGTCCTGCAGCGCGCGCAGGATGTTGCGGATCCCCGCCTCCTCGGTCGCAGGGTCGCCCTGCGCCGTGATCCCCGCAGAGGCGGCAAAGACGACCTTGTCGACGTCCTCCATCGCGTCGAGCAGCGACTGGTAGTCGAGGATGTCGCCGTACGAGTACTGGACGTTGCTGCCGAGCCGCGTGAGCGTCTCGGTGGAGAGCGAGCGCACGAGCACCGACACGCGGAAGCCGCGCAGCACGAGCTTGCGCACAACGATCGTGCCCGTCCGCCCGGTGGCACCGATGACGAGCACGCGCGGGATGAACTCGAGATCGTCGGTGTTGACCTCGCCCATCGCCGAGTCCTCTGCGCCCAGCTGCGCAATCTCGGACGATTGCTCGCCGCGCAGCTTGCTCACCAGCGAGCCGATGTCGGGAAGCTGCAGCAGTGGCGGCCCCGCGAGTCGCGACAACCGCGTCGCTGCCGCGGGAGAGCGGAGAGGCGCCCGTCCCACGAGCGCCGCGCGGGCCGTGAGGCTCGCAAATAGGACCAGCAGCGAGAGATTGTGCATTTGCCTGGCGAGAGCAAGACCTAGCGTGGTTACCAGGACATTGCGAAGAGAAAAAGAAAAAATGGCCGGATTGTACAACTCTGGCTTAGTAGCAACTCTACAACATGCCCAATTGACCAGCGTATGATCCTGCTCAGTGATGTATCTGCCAAGCCAGAGTGGTTGACAATATGATGGCACTGCAGTGCACACACTTCGACAACCATTCGCGGCGGCGGTGAACCACTTTCTAGAACTTCGGCTTGATTTCGGGGAGGCCGGCCCATCCACTGCCATGATTGCGTTGCCCCGGCTGCAGCGCCGGCTGCGGCGGAGCGAGGGGAGGACGCGGGCGAGGGCGAGAGCGTGGTCGAGGGCGAGGTCCCAAGACCCTCGCTGTCAGAGAGCGACGAGTTTAGTCACGAGAGAGCGACGAGAGGCGAGGCAGCTCCGGCCCCAGCGAAAACGGCCCCCGAAAAGGCAGCCGAGCCGCAACCCAGAGATTCGAGGCTGGGCCGGCCAAAGGCAAGCAGCGAGCAGCAAAAGGGGGGGGGGGGGGGGCACGCTGACTCTTCGCTGGCCAGCAGGGGAGCGCAAGCCTCATCTTCGCCACAGCCGCAACAGGGCCTGCAGCCGCCGTTGCCATCGAACGCGCCACCTCAGCAGTCACGACCGCCGCAGCGCGCCCAGCTTCAATCGGTTCCGCCGCCGCCGCAGCCGCAGCAACGGCCGCAGCAACAGCTGCAGCAGCCGCAGCCGCAGCAGCGACAGCAGCCCCCCAGCACGATCCGCGATTGGCTGGAGCGCTTGAAGCCCGGCTTTGCTGACGATTATGGTGGCGCATTTGAGGAGTTCGGCATCACCCAGCAGGAGGAAATCAAAGACATCAACGACCCTTATGCTTGGGTGCGTGTTTAGAACCATCCCTTGGTCGTTCCAATCTCCCTGTTGACTGCCCGGACCCGCCCGGTAGGATGCTCTCTTTGACCACCTGAAGGACGCGCGCGACGGCAAGGGGGTCCGATTTATCGACCGGAGAAAGATCGTGAAAGCCCTCGAGCGGGATGGCGCCTCGAAACGCGGAGGCGGCGGTGTCGCAGGCGGCGCCTCCGGCCGCGGCGCCTCTGGCAAATGCCTCTATCGCCGCTCCGCCGCCAGCCATGGTGGCAGCAGCGCCTGATGTCGCGTCCGCACCCGCCGCCGTCGCCCCTGCCACTGCTCCAGCCGACACCTCTGCCGCTCCTCCCGCGCCTGCCGCTCCTCCCGCCAACACTTGCGCCAACGGCACCGCTTCTGCCGTCCACGGCGTCGCTGCTTCCGCTCGCACCTCGACTAGGACCGATGCGGGAGGAAGCTGTGCCGCCTCAGACGGTACGGCGAGCGGAGCCGGGGCTGGAGGAGCCGCGGCGAGCGGAGCAGGAGCAGATCCCGTGGATGACAGCCTCGAGGCGCTACGGCCTGAGATCGAGAAGGCCGAGCTCGCGGTGTGGCCCACCGCTCAGGCGCCCAAGAAGGGCCCTCTGGAGCAGAGGCTTGGAGAGCTCGAGACGTACTTCGGTGTGCAACCTTCTGGGGACCCTACCAATCGCGCTGAATGCCTTTTGGAGGAACTGAGAAAGCGAGGGGTTCTCTGAAACGGGACTGGGCGCTGGCATACCAGGGGGGGCAGGGTGGTGGGCGGCGACCGCCGCATACCGTCCTACGGCGGGGACTATCGCTACGCCAGGGAAGACAAGGGCGTCGAAGTGCAGCTGCTGCTGTTCGAATCGTTCGGCGGGTTCGGAAAGGGGGTCCGTGAGATCCTCCGGAGAGCGGCGGACGTGCTACAGAACAAGCTGACGCGGGCCCAGTACCTCGATGAGGTGACTTGGACCACCAAGAGCTGGCTGGGGCTGCAGAAGCAGCGCATCTCAGTCGTTCTTCACACGGCCATCGCAGAGCAGGTCGTGAATGAGCTTGCCTGTGGCGGGGGTGGGCGGGTGCACGGAGCTAAGTGCCTCGCCACCCTCGCAGGAGTCGCTTAGGCGGCTCCCGTGGTGTACCTGTGTTAGTGCCAGTGCGAGCCAGTCCCGTGCCCAGTCCTGTGCCCAGTGTTGTGCGAGGGAGTTTTGTTGTAAAATTCTCTGAAACGGACGCGAATCGGAGAGAAGTTTACACAGGCAGTGTCTCTGTCCCAACTTGCGCCTGTGGCGACGCGTGTTCGAGTGCACGACACACCGTAGTGCGACCCGGTGGGCCGGCCCGCCCGCCCCCCGGCCCGCCTCTCCAAGTGTGTCGCGTTAGATTTTCCTACATAATGTAAACATAAGTGCGCCCCAGAGCCCAGTATCTCCCGCTCACTGATGCCTTTCACGCTCAAACGAAGGCGGCACTCTCTGGAATGCGCTTGTGGCCCCACCACCTGAAAGTCCCTCGTGAGGCTGCATGGGGAGCGGGTCCCACGTAGGCGGCGGTGCGGCGGGCGGTCCCAAAGGCATTGGGCGAATCGGCTGCGGCGGCGGCGGCAGCAGGGCCTGCTCGGCCAGGTGAGACAGGAGCACACCTTGCCGCAGATGGGGTTGTCGCGAAATCGCGCTGCCCATCGCATTGCCCGTCGCTGCCGCCGAGATAAACGCCTGTAGTTGCTGCGGCTGTTGCGGCTGTTGCGGCTGCTGCGGCTGCTGCGGCTGCCAGTCCTGCTGCGCCTCCACCTGTGATTCCGACGCCGGCGCCGCTCCTTCCGCCGCCTGATGCGCCGCATGCTGCGCCGCATGTTGCGCCGCATGTTGCGCCCGCTGCGCCTGACGCATTGCATGGTCTATGTCCACCTCGACCTGCTGGCCGGAGACGACAGCGGGGGGGCAGGAGATGATGAACGGTGTGTCACGCACGAGCACTCGAAGCGGCTGTCCCGGCTTAGCGCCCGGCGGTATCGCCACCAAAATGCGCTGTATCTTTGGCTCCGCCTGCTGCGCAATCACTTGACTCGGCTGCTCCCGCCGCCGCTGCTGCCTTGAGCGCCGGGCCGGCTGCCGGGAGGCAGAAGAACCCTCGGACTCGGATGTGTCGTCTGATGAGATGGTCGCGGAGCCATCGTCCGCAGAAGCACCCTCCGACTCGGATGAGTCGTCTGATGAGATGGTCGCAGAGCCATCGTCCGAAGATTCGCTCGATCGGCCTGGCTCCCGCAGGGATCCGACCGGCGGTCGAGGCCGCTTCCTTGCCGCGTCTTTCTCAGGGGACTGCGGTTGCTTGCCACCTGATGTGCCGTGCCAGCGAGCCCCGAGCTCCGTTGGCGGTGATGGCAACAGGTACGGCGAAGGTGACAGCGTTTCAGCGCGCCCAACGGACTCGGCTGAAGTGGCCGCCGGCCGATCTCCTTCCCCGCTTCCGCTCCCGCTCCCGCTGCCACTCGCCGCATCGCTGCCCTCTGCGCGGCTGACCTAACCTGTGCTGCTGCTGCTGCTGCTGTTGCAGCTGATGCTGCTCCTGCTACCCTCCCGCCCGCCCACCCTGCCCGCCCGCCCTGCCCGCCCGCTCGTAAGGGGTCTTCACCTTCACACTGGTCTGGCCACAGGTGGGCAACCTTCCCGTCGAAGGTCAAGCGGTCTCAACTTCGCGCTCTACTGCCCGCCCTCGCCCTCGCCTACCGCCTCCCGCCTCCGCCCGCCCCGACCCGCCGCCAGCTCGTCCGCCAACCCGTCGTCTCTGTCGCCTCTCGCCCGCCCGCCATCGCCCTCGCCTTTCACCTCCCGCCGCCTCCCGCCGACCGCCACGCCAGCTTGCCTGCCGCCCTGTCGTCTCGCCTGTCGCCTGCCCGCCCTCGCTGCCTCTCGCCGACCACCACGCCAGCTTGGCCGCCGCCCTGTCGTCTCGCCTATCGCCCGCCCTCGCCCTCGCCCTCGCCCCCTCCCCCCGCCACCACCCTCGCCTCACCCTCCCGCCGCCTCGCCGCTCGCTTGCTCGCTCGCGCGCCCGCTCGCGCCTGGCTTTCTACTTCCTCGTGATCGCCCGAATCTCTCCTTCCTCGTGATCCACCCTCGCCTCACCCTCCCGCCGCCTCGCTGCTCGCTCGCCGCTTGCTCGCCCGCCCGACTTTCTACTTCCTCGTGATCCGAACCCAACCGCCACCACCCTCGCCTCACCCTCCCGCCGCCTCGCCGCTCTCGCTCGCCGTTCGCTCGCCCGCTCCCGACTTTCTACTTCCTCGTGATCCATCTCGCCGCCCGCTCGCTCGCTCGCGCTCGACCTCCTACTTCCTCGTGATCCACCGCCGCCACCCTCGCCTCGCCCTCCCGCCGCCTAGCCGCTCGCTCGCCGCTCGCTCGCACATTCGCGCTCGACCTTCTACTTCCTCGTGATCCACCGCCGCCACCCTCGCCTCGCCCTCCCGCCGCCTGGCCGCTCGCCTGCCGCTCAGGCTCAGCGCTCGGGCGTTGACCGCACCGCGTACCCTCCCCACTCCCGCCTCTCATTTACAACTCAAGTCTTCTGGAGAGCATTTTTCCAAAAGCCCCAATGGGGAGGAGTTCGCCGTCGAAGGGACAGGGACGTGTCCAACGATCGCCGTCACGATCCCCTGACCGATTCGAGGCACGTGCTGCCACTGTGCTGGCGATGCACAGGTTGCTCCTCTACGCTCTCGCTGCCATGAACGGCGGTCCCTTCTCGTCCGACCCAGTGGTGCAAGAGGACTACATATCACCTCTTCCCGATGCTCTGCGTCGCAGCCTCATGGCCGTCCACGCATCAGGCCGGTCGAAGCACAGCGCCAGCCCGTGGCGTCCGGAGATGGATGCCTTCGTGCTGCTGCGCCACGTTCGAGACGGCATCTCGTTGCCAAAGGTGGCAGAGCAGTGGCCGTTTGAATCCGCCACCAAACGAAGCAAAGATGCAATCAAGTGGCGATGGACAAATGTTCTCAAGAAGCTTGACGCTCTCGACATCCTCCGACTGATCTGTGGATCCTGCGACGAGCGCGACGAGGCGGAGACGCAGCTGAACAGCACCGAGATCAGCCTGCAGCCGTGGGTCGAGGATGCTCTCGTGCAGCTTCACGCGCGAAAAAACGTGTCGATGAGCTCAAACTACACTCCATGGACGATCGAGGAGGACCGCCTTCTGCTTCACACGTACCAGAGCGGCGCAAAGATCAACGAGATACGCGTTGGTGTCCGCAGCTACAAATCAATCAAGCACCAGCTACGCCGACTTCAGAACGTCACGCCACTGGTACGCGACGCGCACCACAAGAGCCGTTGCGACCCGGAGGCGCCGTTTCAGTACCTGCAGCACGACATCTGGACGCCGATCGACTCGACCCTCGCTCTACCGCCGTGCGCGCAGATCGACTGGATTCGCGGCGTCGCAAAGGTGCCTCCCTTACCCTGTTCGCCTGCACGCGCGCGTGATCATTCGGCTATCTCCAACGACTAGTGATCCATACCCTCCGAAACCCGCATCTCCTCTGTCATTCATCACCCAATGATAATCATATCGGACCCCACCGTGCCCGAGATTTCTTCAACTTACGTCACTGACCTCGCGACCGACGGCAGCGCCGAGCTAGACCCAGACGGCCTCCCAACACCCTCCTCCGCTACTGACACTATCTCTCTCCTCGCCATCCCGCCCCACCTCACTCAAACGCCGCGCCGCGCTGACAGGCCTGAGACTACACGCCTACACACCACGCGCACACGTATCGCTGTCCCGTTATCAGCACTAAATCACTGTCGCTATCTTAGGAACGTAGCGGCAACCCACACCTCCACTTCCGCCGATCTCTCTCGCGTACTTCCTCCATGCCTTCACCATCGCTCATCCCGACACTTCTCTCCACCTGCCACCCTCCCCACCGCCACCGCCCTTGCCGCCGCCCTCTCCGCCCCTTCCAACACCGACGTCACGATCTCCGCCATCCCAGAGATCTCCTCTTGCGAGCCCGCCACCATCGTCACCGCTGCCCTCGCCACAGACGCCCTCGCCATTACCGTCGCACACCCACCCTCTTCGCCGCCGCCGTCATCGTCGTCTCACTCTCCGCCACCGCCGGCCGTCGCGGCCGCGGCACCGCAGCGACCGCAGCAGCATCCGCAGCAGCGTCAGCAGCAGCAGCCACAGCCACAGCAGCCGCCGCCCGTGGACACTTGGGCCCAGTGCGAGGCGTGCAGGAAGTGGCGACGCTTACCGCACGGTGCGGCTGAACCTGCGGCGGACCAGGCTTGGCAGTGCGCCATGAACCCCGACGCCAGCCGCAACACGTGCGAGGCCGAGGAGGAGGACGAGGAGGACGAGGACGCCGTTGCTGCTGGCGCGTGCGTCGTCGGCCATCTTGTCGGTCAGCGGGTGCGACCTGGCTGTACTCGGGAGTACTTGGTTCACTGGGACGGCTATCCGGTGGAGGAGCGGACTTGGGTGGGCGCGGAGGACATCCGCGACAAGACTTTGATCCGCGAGCTAGAGGTCGCTGACGGCCCGAACGTGTTCGTGACCGAGTGCGACCTCACGTGGCACGGCGGATCCAAGCAGCTGGGGTTGTACGCCCGCAAGTCGATCCCGCAGGATGAGGCAATCTGCGAGTACCGCGGAGCGAGGATCCCCAAGTCGCTGCAGCAGCCAGGGAAGTATGTCCTCGAGGTGAGCGACGAGCCCGTCGTCATCGACGGCTTGTCGGAGAGCATCTGTCCATTGTACGTGCCGGGCAGCCCCGCAGTCTATGCCAACCACAGCTCGAAGCCGAACGCGCGGGTCGACAAGCGCGATGGCGGAATGTGGCTCATCTCCACCGCCCCGATCGAGGAGGGGCAAGAGATTCGTTTTGACTACACAGAGCGCTATTGGTGCGCCTTTGGGGGCGCGCCGCGGGAGACGAGGGACTGGAAGATGGTTCGCCGTAGCCCTCCCCCACCAGTCACGGGACCAGTCAGGGGGTCGCTTCCACCGCAACCGTGGGAGGCTAGCCGCGGTGCCCGCCCGGGCGCGTTCTGGAGGGGCGCGGATGAGCTTCTGCAGACTCTCGTGCCCAGGTGCCGCAGGGCCATGGCCGCCGATGGGATCCCAGAGGCGCGGCTGTGGGAGCTGATCGCATCCGCCATCCGAGGGCGCTCCCCGGAGGATTGCCGGCAGAGATGGCGGATGCTCAACGGAGGCAACGAGCGAGATGGGCTTGACGCGCTGCTGGACGCAGCCGGGCTGGTTGATGCATCGGCGGGCGCTGCAGACGAGGCCAGCAGCTCGACGAGCGGCCGCCCGCGAGAGCCAGCGACCGACGAACCTCCGCCAAAGCGGCGATCGAGCGCCAACAGCGCCGACGCAGGCTCTTCCTCTACCGCCTCGCCGGGCTGTTTGGCTGTCGAGGGTGACGAGGTGGAGGTGGAGGTGTCGGAGGGCAGCAAGGTGCAGTCATCATTGCCGCAGCCGGCACTGCCGCAGCCGCCGCAGCCAGCAATCCAGCCGCCGCAGCCGCCGCCGCCGCTGCTCCGCGAGGGAGTGAGGGTCAAGGCGCGGTGTGGGGGGGGAATCCATTTTTCCCCGGGAGGGTTCACGGGGGGGCCCGCCAAGGGGGGCTTTTGCCATACATTTCGATGCCGAAAAGAGGGGGGACCCCGGGGGGGGCCTTTTTTTTGGCCCATGGCGGCCCAATGCCGATTTGAGGAAGGGGGAGCCTTTTGCGGGGGCCTCAAAAGGGGATGAGGGGGCCTTTTTTTCGGAGTTGGTTTAAAGGGGGCCGCTTTGGACTTTTTTGCCGTCCGGGGAAAATTCAACAGGGGGGGGTTTTGTCGCCCTGCGGTGGGGGCCTCGTTCCGGGGCCGCGGGGCCAAATGGGCCCCAAGGGGGGGGGGCTAATCCCCCGGAAGACTTCAAGATTGAAGTTGGGATTCCCGGGCTTAAACCCCCCCGGGAAGCCCGCATAAAACCGAGGGGCCCCTGTTTTCCTGGCATGGAGCCGTCCCGGGGGTGCATAGTTTTTAGCCCCAAGGGGTCCCCCCATAGGGGGGGCTTTTTTTTACCCCCCCCCCCCCCCCCCCCCCCCCGCAGCTGCGCAAGTGGATCGGAAGATACGAGTCGAGGGCGCTCGCCAGCATGGGCGTGGCTCCCAATGAGGCTCAGCATCGAGCCCACCGGCCTCACCATCAGCCCCGCCAGCCAACCGCACAGCTGACAAGGCCGATCCCAGTCGTATTCGCGTATCCTCTTCGTCAGCAGCCCGAGCCCAGCCGTGAGCCGTGAATCTCAGTGTCAGTCTCAAGCAGTGCGAACAATCCGTAAAAACTAAAGTCGAGAGCCGATGCTCGGCGAGAATGACTTGCGCAGGGCTAAAACTCGAGTCTCGAGACATATATGTGCTAATTAAATGAATTTTGAGTGTGGGAGGCTGGGGCCGATACGGCTTTAGAGCGCCACAGACACAGGTTGTACACAGGGCGGTGCGCCGAGCGGGCGACCCGAGCCGCGCATGCCTCGGGTCGGTGCGGCGGTGCGTGCGGGAAGCTTTGTGGCCGCGCAGGATCACAACTCGATCCCGCTCATATCTGCCAATCAAGCCGCCGACTGCGCATCATAATGACAGCTGCGTGTTGCAAGTCGTGTTGCGCAACAGCCTCGAGGCAACACAGCCTCGACAGCGCGCACGTCCACGAGGCGGTCAGCGGCCAGCCGCCTCTCATCACGCGCCGCTCCGCAAGCATGCCGTGCCGCGCCTCAAGCCTCCGCCTTCTCGGACGCGATCTTGATCGGACCTGCGGTGCACACGCGTCGCAACGAGGGCCTCAGAGGCGCCGCGGTGGAGCTGCCCCCTCCTTCTGCGGGTGGCCCGACTCTCGTTGCACGGACCGTCCTGCTCGTCGACCGAGAGGGCGCCGGGCCCGTGCACGACGAGGAGGAGGAGCGCGCCGACGGTGGACATGGACTGGAAGAAGAAGTAGCGGTGGTGGTCGGCCATCGTGAAAGCGTCCACCTGCGGCGTGGCGGAAAGGAGGGAACTCGGCAGAGGCAGCAAGGGCGGCGGCGGGGGCGGCGGCAGAGGGGCGGCGGCGGTGTCGAAACGGCAGGGGCGGCGGCGATGCGGCAGCGGCGCGGGCGGCAGCGGCCAGTACGTGCGGCGGCGGCAGCGGCGGCAATGGCGCGGACACGGGCGGCGGGCGAGGCTGCGGGAGGAGGAGGGAGGGAGGTGCGGGAGGGAGGCGAGAGGCGGGAGGAGGGAGGCGGGAGGAGGGAGGCGGGAGTCGCTAGGTCTGTTGGTTGGCGCCTCGAACCCCTCCATGCCGACGACGCCCTGCATGGTGTAGGTGCGGGACGAGAAGAGGAAGAGGCACCAGGGGTGCATCCAGACGGCGGCGAGGAACATGGTGACGGCGAGGAGGAGGGCGACGCCTGGAGGGGTGACGCAGGCAGGCCGTCAGAGGACGCGAGGCCAGCCTCGCGGGAGGGGGGCGGCGAGGGGCGGGGGGGCGGTGAGGGGTGGAGGGGCGGTGAGGGGTGGAGGGGCGGGGGGGTGACGAGGGGCGGGGGGGCGGTGAGGGGCGGGGGGGCGGTGAGGGGTGGAGGGGCGGGGGGGCGGTGAGGGGCGGTGGGGCGGTGAGGAGGGGCGGTGAGGAGCGGGAGGGCGGCGTGTGTCGCACCGCGCGACTTCATGCCGATGACGACAAGCCTACGCGAGCGGTCGCGGAGATATGGGGAGATGTGAGGAGATATGAGGAGATATGGGGAGATGTGAGGAGATGTGGGGAGATATGGGGAGACATGAAGCCTTACGCGAGGGCTGCGGAGGCGTGCTGCGGGAGAGGGCCATGCGGGCCGTGCGGGCCGGGCGGGCGGGCGGGCGGGCGGGGCGGGCGGGGCGGGCGGGCGCCAGCAGAGGTAGAGGATCAGCAGCGAGAGGAGCAGCTCGACCTGCCGGACAGACTACGCCGGTCTCTGATTGTCTCGGATCCCCTAAGCAGCTCTCTGCCACCGCTCTTCCACCGCTCTCTGCCAGCTCTCTGCCAAGCTCTCTGCCAGCTCTCTGCCAGCTCTCTGCCAGCTCTCTGCCAAGCTCTCTGCTAGCTCTCTGCTAGCTCGCGCCGTCCTCGTGCCCCACCCCCACACGCCCGGCCCGTCCCCTGGTCCGAGGGAGAGCGAGACGCTCCTGCGGCGCGGCGCAGGCGGGGGGGGCAGGCCGCCCATCGGTACTGTTGTTAGTGCAAGCACAGCCGGCAGGCGGCCTCGGCGAGGAGGGAGGGAGAGAGAGGGAGAGGGGAAGGGGAGGGGAGGCGCGTGGTGCGAGGTGGGGAGGGAGAGGAGACGAGGTGGGGTGGGGGGGTTTGGCTGGCGAGGGAGCGAGGGAGGGGGGAGGGTAGGGCGGAGAGGCGGAGGGTGGCGGAGGGAGGGAGCGAGCGAGGGGAGCGTTTGCGAGGCCGGGCAGAGGAAGGAGCACCACGCGTGTGTCTTTGTCGCGGCGACGTAGAGGAAGAAGGAGACGACAAGGACGCGGCCAACCGCCTGGATGCGGTGCGCCGTCGCCGTCCGGTCCTTCTGCTCCTGCGCCGCCGCCGCCGACACCCCGCCCAGCAGCGGCGCCTTTGTTCGCAGCAGCAGCAGGTGCGACAGCAGGATCAGCAGCCCGCCGGAGATGGTCGCCGTCTCGAGCACAAACTCGCGGTTGCCGGCCTGGCCGTACATGAAGGGGTGCCACACGCACCAGCCGAGCAGCAGGTAGCAGCCCACCTCTCCGCCCACGCCCGAAGACGCCAGCACGAGCAGCGCGCCGCACGACTGCACGGCGAGCGACAGCAGCGGCAACAGCGTGTGCAGCGCGGGAGAGGTCCACCCGGCGATCTCCATCGACTGCTGCTGTACCCCAAAGGTAAAGAGCACGCGCAGCGCGTCCTCGACAAAGGTCGCGACGATCAGAAGCTTGGCAACCACCTGACCGAGACGGAGGCAGTAAACTCGCTGCCGCGGTGGCCGAGAGGCGGCAGAGGCGCGGCGCCTGCAGCCGCCGGTGGACGTGCTTCAGGTTGATGCGTGCCTCGACTGCGACCTTGTAACGCTCGACGAAGCTGATGCTCGGCGGCGACGGCGCGGCGGCCTGCGTGAGCTGCACCTTCAGTGAGCTCATCGGGGAAGAGCCACGTCGGGTATTCTCGCCGGTTCGCTCAAAGCCGACTTATGGCGCGCCCGCCCACGGCCAGTGAAAGCCAGCTGGCTCTCGCGCGTGCTTGCGCTTGTGCTCGCCGCAGGCGAGAATATCATTGACCACCCGATCGGCTAGCCCTGCGCACCGGTCGCACGCCACCAATCGCGCGCACGCAGGCGGTAGGACGGCCAGACTGCCGCTTGAGCGTGACGCTCAAGTGCTCCCCGCCCGGCCATCGTAGTCGCCATGACCGACGAGATGGCCCGCGAGTGCACGGCACTGGCCAGTATGGGTGCTGAGGCGGCTGCCTCAAGCCGGACGCGGCCTGACGGCCCTTGTTTTCATGTGCACAACAGCCTCGCTTCTTGTTAGGCTCGCACTGCATCGACAGCGGCTTCAGCAGGCCCCAGCGATGCTGCCGCCGCGGTATCCGGCGCGGCACGCAACCTGTTCGGGATCTGTTCTCTTCCCTGCTGTCACGGCGCCGGGGGCGAGTGGGGGGAGTGCGAGAAGCACGCGCCGTGCAACTGCAGCGGCGTCAATGGAGAGCATCTGCGCACGCACGTGGGGTGTGTGCACCATGATGCCGTTGCGGAGCGGGCCCATCTCTGGCCGGCGCTCACGGTCAAGATCGGGCCGGGGAATACGGACCTCGAGGGCGAGCACTCCCTCGCGTGGTTCTTCGGACTGCCTGAAAGTGGGACGGTCGACGTGGGTGACAGCTCTCTTCCGCTGCATGTGCGACGCCAGCCACCTCGGCCACCCATCCTCTCCCGGTCACTCTCCCCACCCGTGGCTCGTGCGCAGGTGTGCCAATCGCACTCAACGTACGCGCGGCAGACCTACGGGCGTAGACCGAAGAGCACCGGCGGCGCGCGCTCCACGTGGCGGACTCGCTGCTGGACCTGCAGGGCCGCGGCGAGCTCTACGGCATGAGCTTTCATGACCTAGCTGCCTTCTTCCCGTTCCGTATCCTCGTTGCGATGGCGCATGCGTGCAACACGCACAGTGAGCGCGAGCCCGGGCGTCCAAACCCGACCGAGCCCACACTACGTCGCCGCTTCAACGCGGAGGTGCTCTCTGTACTCGCGCGGCTGCGTCAGCTCCGCCCTCGCCTCGTACTCCCCGCACACGAGCAGATCGCTGTCGCCGTCTCGAGTGATGCACTCGGGGCAAAGCAGCTCGCCAACCTTCTTCACGCGCTCGGCTCCTCGCTCTCCTACAAGTACACGCTGCCTTGGCGCGAGGCCGCGGAGAAGGCCGCTACAGAGAGCCGCGTCCTCGCCATCGCCGCCATCTTCCTCGCTGGCCGCCGACCTGCACTCGGTGGCGACAACGTCAACGTGAAGAGGAGGTACCTTGGCCGGGGCTAGGGCGAGGAGGCAGTGTGTGGCGTGGCTGTCGACCGCGCGTTGCTGGGCGAGCACGGCCGCCTCGAGATTGCGGACTCGGACGTGCTGCCAATGGCGTGCCCGGTCGTCACCCACGCCATGTACGTCCTCGCGAACAAGCCGGAGGATGTCGGGCTGCTCTTCTGGAGCAAGCCCTGCGCCGCTGACGCACGTGCCGACCCCTCGGGGTTTGTCTGTCTCAACTGGCTGGTCGAGCGCATCAGCGAGTCGCAGGCGCTGCGGAGCATCATGGAGGCGGGCGATAACCCAGGCTGGACGCGAGTGCTACGTGTCGTCTGCGTTGCCGCAGCGACCATGAAGGGGGGGGGGGACACGACGTCGACTGTCCCCGGCGTCGGGCACGGAAAGGTGATCGAGTGGTACCTCGAGTACATCGAGTGGGTGGGAGCCCTCGTGCGCTACTCTGGCTCCACTACGACACGTGAGCTCGACTACGAGTTCGTCCCCGAGGCGCTGGAGAGGCTGACGCTGCTGCTCCTTACGCTTCGTAGTAAGCCCGGTGTGAAGGGGGCGGTCGGGTTCAAGACGGAGAGCTCCATGGCCGACCGCGTTGCCGCGCTGAACGCCGAGGGCTATCGAGAGAAGCTGCGGGCTGCAATCGCTGCGAAAGTGAGCCCCGTCGGCGAGGGTGCAGAGCTATCAATGCCCACCGTAGAGGACGGCGCACACGAGCTCATTCGTTTGAATGCTCGGCTCAAGCAGTTCCTCCACGTGCGCAAGCCCGATCCTGCTCTGGCGAACGCGACTGCAGGCCTCCGCCCGGCCAAGCCTGGGGCAGCGATGGGCCCGCTCACCACTCTCCCATCATACAGCGAGGCTGCAGCGGCCGTACAGCGACAGGCAAACGCTGACGCCAGGGGCGTGGCAGCAGAGGCGACTTCAGCAGAGCTCAAGAGCATCTCGGAACTCACTTCCGCTCATGGTGCTGATCTCGGTGGAATGAGCAAAGAAGATGTGCTCGCACAGCTTCGTGCGCGACGGGTGCCCGAGAGCAACTTCCTGGGCAAGGGAGGCGGGGCAAGGCAGGCCGCAACACTGCGCAAGCTGCTGCTTCGCTGGGACGCCGACGAGACGGCCGAGACGGCGCCGCCGGCGCCGCCGGCTGCTGCGCAGGCCGCATCGCATGACCCGGCTCCCGCCGACTTGCCGCCGCGCCCGGCGCTCTCAGCTAAGCTGCGGCGCTCGCTCCAAGGTAGCACAAACTGGGCAGCTTGCGACAACTGCAGCAAGTGGCGCCGGCTGCCTAAGGGACGCGAGTATGACGGCGACCACTTACCGGAGGAGTGGACGTGCTCGCTCAACCCAGACCCGACTCGGAACCGTTGCACTGACCCAGAGGAGGAGATGGAGAAGAACGAGGAGTGGGACGGCAACGTCGAGGAGGGTGACGAAGACGACAGTGACTTCAATGCGGCGGACGCGGAATCTGAGTCAGGCTCGGAGGGGGTAGAGGGGGAGGACGAGGTCGGAGCTGCGACCTGCGTGAGTGTTTTGTACGTGGGCAATGTACTGGGTAATGTACTGCATGACATATCGTTCTGTCTCACACATCAAGTAAAATGCATAACGTACTCATGCGCGTCGCACGAGCCATACTGCGAGTCGCCCACTTGCGCACAAGAAAACGCACGCGCGCTCACGCGCGCAGGGTCCACGTGGCGGGGAAGGAGCCGCACCTTCCCGCAACCACGCCGCCGGCACCGCCGGAAGTGGAAGGAGCGGCTCACGTCATCACTCGGCCGCGGTGGTAGTGAAGCAACCACCTCGTGCGCACGATCAGGCGGCGCCCCCGGCCGCCACACACAGAGTGCAAACGGATAGATGTAGGGCGACGCGGGCTCCCTCTCATGGAACGGGTTGTTCCATTTGAGCAGCCCCTGCACCCAGTGGATCTCGTGAGCCGCGCGCCCGCCACTCGCCGCGCCCGTAACGCAGGTGTGAAACCACGACTGGTGCGAGAGCACCGGGACGAGCGCGATGCAGGTGCAGCCTCGCGTGCTCGCCAGCTCGACCAGTCTGCGCACGAACGGCTCGATGGCGGCGCAGCTTCCGGTGCCGTACCGGTCGAGCGCGTACGGCGGGTTGCAGTAGATGGTGATGTCCTTTAAGTCCTCGCGCGCAAGGAAGTCGTCGTCAACTGTGGAGTACCGCGGCGCGAGCGCATTGATCGGCGACGCGCACGCGTCAAAGTCCACTGCCCATCGAGCAGACACGTACTCCCAGACCGGGAGAGGAGTCTCCCACTGCTGCGTCTTCTGCACGGAGAGAATGTCGACATCAGCGTCGGCGGCCGCCGCGGGCGCGATCGTCCAGTGCGCGTGCTTGGGCCTGCGCACGAGGGCGAGAGGGGCCGTATCACTCAGGGCGGCGGAGGCGGAGGCGAGGTGGAGGGCGGCGGCGGCGTGAGCGGTGGCGGCGGCGTGGGCGAGGTGGGGGGCGGCGGCGTCGTGAGCGGCGGCGGCGGCGGTGTGGGGGAGGTGGAGGGCGGCGGAGGCGCGCGCACGCCCGCATTGCAGTGTGCGCACGCGCTGGGAGTGGAGGTGGCGCATCACCTGACGGCGTCGGGATGGCGCTCCGACGCCAGGAGCGCGAGCGCGTTTATGCCCTCGTAGGAGCGCCGCACAGAGCCGAGCGTCGGCCGTGGTAGCTCGAGGTAGGTCGTGTCGAGTCGGATGCGCAACTCGCCCTCAGCGCTTGGTGAGCTGGCATCGAACTTGCGCGGCGACCTGCTACGAGTGCACGCGAGAGGCCGTCCGGTGAGGTGGTCGAGCTGGGGGACACGCCGCTGGGTGCATCGGCCCTCGGCATTATGGTGCACAACAGGGCTGTTTGGCGTCTCGCGGGCAGGGGTTGGGCGTTGCGCGCACTTTCCGAGCCATGACTTCGTCCAGCGGACCTGTCCCGGTCGTCGATGGACGGCGAGAGGGCGGTCTCGACACTTTATGAGCTGTGACGGGCGCGCGAGGACGCCCGCGGCGACGCGAGGGACAGGGAGCTCGAACCCTGGAAATCCGCCATTTCTGGCCTAAGTACCCAAGGTGAGCTGGGCGCACACACAGACGAGATGAGCCCGACCGTGAGAACTTTGCGAGCGACAGAGGAAGAATTCTTGGGACAGAGGAAGAAAGAAACCGCGACGTTTGTGCCCCGTTTGTGCCGCGTCCCGTGCCCCCGAGTTCATTTAATAAAACTGCGACATAGGTAAAACTCGATAAACGAAAGGAAGCGCTCGCCAGCTGCGCTCGCTGCTGTTGCCCGTTTCCGATGACGTTCCCCGACGAGTGGGGCCCCGGCGGCGGCGACGGCGGCCCGACCGAGTCGAAGCTCGTCCAGCTCTCGATGCAGAGCAACGAGGCGCTCCTCATCAAGACGTTGCTGGCGCGGAGCTGCCCGAGCGCAAGGCTGAGCCGCGTGCAGCGCGTGCAGAACAAGAAGCTGTGGCGCGCGTACTCCAACCACCGCGACGAGGAGCTCGTCCACAGTTGCGACGGCGGCGACGTCAACGAGATGCTCCTCTTCCACGGCACGGCGGAGCGGGCGGCGGAGGATGTGCTCGCGCATCAGAACGGGCTCGACCCGCGCTTCTCGAACGGCGGCTTTTACGGCAAGGGCATTTACCTCGCGGAGGACCCGTCCTACCCGATCGGCGGCCGGTACGCGCACCGCATCTCCGGCTCGGGCGGGCGCCGCGTGCAGCTGCTCATCGTGAAGGCCGCCCTCGGCTCGCAGCAGGAGATGGGGCAGCGCATCAGCGCGGAGACGAGGGCGATGTGCATGCCGGACGTGCGCGTCGAGGGCCCTCCCCGACTGCTCTACGACAGCGTGCGCGGCGGGCCGCACCGCCCCTTCGTCTCCGGCGGGGGCGAGAACGGGTGCGACGCCTCCATCGTACACGTTGTGTACGAGTCGCGCCAGATGTACCCGGCGTACGTGATCGAGGTCGAGATGGAGATGGGGGCCGAGGTTGTGGCGGCCGTGCAGAACAACTCAGCCGAGGGGAGTGCGAGCGCCGGCTCGGCACCCAAGCGGCAGCGCCACGCTGCGCTGAGCGGCGGCGGCGGCGGCGGCGGCGGCGGCGGCGGCTCCAGCAGCGGCAGCGGCAGCGGCAGCGGCAGCGGCTCTGCTGCTCATGTCCCCGCCGCTGCGCCACCGAGCGATGCGGAGGTGCGGGCGATGGGCATGGCGGCGGCGGTGGCGGCGCTACGGGCGCACGGGTCGGTCAGTCGCGTCGCGCTTGCGGCTTGCGTGCGGTTGGTTGATCTGTGCAATGAGGTGCAGACAAGGCAAGCTGGTGCGGACGCTGGCGCAATCGAGGCGATCGTAGCGGCGCTGCAGGTGCACCCGCAGGTGGCGGGTGTGCAGCAGTATGGCTGCTGGGCGATGGCCAACGTGTGCGCCGGCACCGACGCCGCAGGGCTTGCACGCAAGCAGCGCGCAGCAGACGCGGGCGCGATCGAGGCGATCGTGGCGGCGATGCAGGCGCACCCGCAGGTGGCGAGCGTGCAGGAGTTTGGCTGCCAGGCGATGGCCAACGTGTGCTCCGGCAGCGACGCCGCAGCGTTCGCACGCAGGCAGCGCGCAGCAGACGCGGGCGGTATCGAGGCGGTTGTGGCGGCGATGCAGGCGCACCCGCAGGTGGCGGGTGTGCAGCAGTTTGGCTGCCGGGTGCTGGTCAACGTGTGCGTCGGCAGCGACGCCGCAGCGTTCGCACGCAGGCAGCGCGCAGCAGACGCGGGCGGCATCGAGGTGAGTGTGGCGGCGATGCAGGCGCACCCGCAGGTGGCGGGTGTGCAGCAGTTTGGCTGCTTGGCGGTGGCCAGCGTGTGCTGCGGCAGCGACGCCGCAGCGTTCGCACGCAGGCAGCGCGCAGCAGACGCGGGCGGCATCGAGGTGAGTGTGGCGGCGTTGCGGGCGCACCCGCAGGTGGCGGGTGTGCAGCAATATGGCTGCTGGGCAGTGGCCAACGTGTGCTCCGGCAGCGACGCCGCAGCGATGGCGCGGAGGCAGCGAGCTGTGATTGCGGGCGCGACCGAGGCGGCGGTAGGGGCTGTGCAGGCGCACCCGGGCGATGCAGCTGTCCAGAATAGAGGGCAGGCTTTGCGGGATCTTCTTGCCTGAAGGGTCCGGGCCACGCGGACCAAAAGAGCGCACCATGAACAGGAACGCATAGACTCCGGTCTGTGGGAAGTGCTTGCGCCATCTAGCTGGTTGTCCCATGTCTGAAAGGGGTTTTGTCTCTCTGAGTGTGCACAAGTTGTCGTGTGGGAAGAGAGCTTGCGCGATCTGCTTGTCTGGGGGCAGCCCGTACCGCGTACGGTACGCCGTAGCCGGTACCGTAAAGCCGTACGCCGTAGCCGCGTGTACGCTTTACATTGTACATATCTTCTATGCGTCAGCACCACGGCTCCCGCGCCACGCACGGCAGCGGCTCCCCATCACCCACGAGGCCGCCGCGCACCCAATCCTGCTCCGTCCTCGCGTCGCAGCAGCTCTCGTGCAGCTTTGTGAAGAGGAGCGGCCGGGGCGCGCCGCCGGCCGCGCCGGATGCGGCGGCCGCGTGCCTCGCCACCGCGCGCACGTTGACGACGTGGCCGCTCAGCGTGGAGGGGAGCGAGCCTGTATTGGCAGTTGACCGGTACTCAATCATAGGCCAACTGGGTGGGACACGACGAGCGCGAGGAGGGGAGCGAGCCGACGAATCCCGAGGGTGCGCCCGCGCAGACGACCTGCTCGAGGATGGCGAGCACGTCTGCCCACACGGCCTGTGAGGGAGAGGGGGGGGAGGGCAAATCGGAGTAGTGGTGGCGGTAGCAGCTGCGGCAGTCATACGCACGGCCTGCGGGAAGGAAGAGAGCGCCTCGAGGAGCGGCGCCCGGTCGAGGTCGTCGGCGAAGCGGAGCCCGAAGCCTGACTCGCAGCGCTGGCCGTGAAGAGACGCCGCTCACACACCGCGTGGTCGGCGGAGGGCAGAGCCGCCCTGCTCGCGCAACGGCGCGAACCACGCGCGGTCCAGCTCGTCGGTCGCCACGAAGACCGTCGCGCCTACTCGGGGCCCGGGCTGTGGAGGGCGCTGCTCACAGCTCGTGCCCGCGCCAGGACGCTTCGCGCCGGCGGGGAGCCCCTCACGCGCTGCGAGCCTAGAGTATGGGACACACGGCCCTCTCAGGACGTGCGTCTCGCGGGAGCTCGCGAGCCTCGATCACAGTCGAGACTGCTCGCGGCGGAATACCGCCGAATGCGCGCAGAGTGCAAGGGCACGTGTTCCGCATCTGGTGGGCTGCGGGCCGCAAAAAGTAGTCAGGGCCCATCCTCGGGAAACTGTCGCGGTAGGCGACATCGACGCTCACCTAACAGCCAAGTTATGAGAAGGTTCCGAGAAGGTTCCGAGAAGGATCCGGGAAGGATCCGAGAAGGATCCGAGAAGGTCCACGCTCACCTTACAGCCAAGTGCCCCCTCTGCAGCCGAAGACTCGCACCGCCGCCGCGCCTCGGGCAGCGGCTGGGCGAGGTGCGCGCCCCACCTTGTCGCCGCGCCGGACATGCATCGCCGCGTACTCGTCGCCGAGCGGGGCGGCCTACAGGACAGCTCCGAGAAGGTTCCGAGAAGGTTCCGAGAGGCCGTCTCGAAGAGGAGCCGGTACCTACAGGACAGCTCCGAAAAAGGCTCTGAAGGGCAGGCTCCTGCAGGACGCTGCTCGGCGGAAGGTGGCTGGGGCGACCGCGGCGCGGGCCGCGCGCACAAGCGCTGGGTGGTACTCGAAGTGGGAGTACAGCTCGAAGGCAACCTGTTCGCAGCCAAGCCCGCGCGTGGCTGCCGGCGCGCCTCGCTCGGGTGGGCGGCGGTGCATGGAGGAGGTGCGAGAAGAGGGTCACGAGCTCGGCACTCGCATGCGGTGAGTGCGAGGGCGGGTGCAGTGCACAACACAGGGGACAGGTGTGCTGCATGTGTCAGGAGCGGGTGTGGTGGTCGGGTGCTCGCAGCCTCGTCGGGCAGGCGCCACGTCCAAAAGAGGCAGCAGCTCACCTGTAGGAAGGCTCCGAGAAGGCTCAGGGAGGGCTCCGGGCAGGTGCCACGTCCAACAGAGGCAGCGGCTCACGGCGAGCAGCGGGGCGGAGGAGGCTCCCCACCGCCCCACCCATCCTATATGCAGGAGCGACCGAGCTTGCACCGAGGCTGACCGAGGCTTCGTCAGGGGGGGGGGTGGCGGGGCTCACCCTCGCGCGACCAACGATGCACCTTTCGCTTGCGGTGCGGCTGCCCCTCGCCCGAGATGTGCTCGGCCGCCACGCCGAGCGCGCCGAGCGATCCGAGCACCCCTCCGTGCTCGTCCTGCAGGGAGGCTCCGAGAAGGCTCAGGCCGGCTGCCTCCCGCAGAGCCGAGCGCGCCGCCGTCCTCTTCCTCGCACACGAGCCGCACGCCGCGCACCTACAGGAAGGTTCCGAGAAGGTTCAGGGAAGGCTCGTCCTCGCCGCACGAGCCGCGCCGCCGCGCACCGCCGCCAGCCTCGCCGCGTCGACCAGCCGGCAGACGCTCACCTTGGCGGCGGGTCGGCGGCGGCGCATGGCAGGGCTAGCGGTGCAGGGCGGTACATGCACAAGCCACATGGCAGCTGGTGGTGCAGGGCGGTAAGGGCGGTGCAGGGCTGGCGGCAAAGGGCTGGCGGTACAAGGCTGGCGGCACAAGGCTGGCGGTGCATTGGCGTTGGTGGGTGGAGGACAGAGGCGGCAGGAGAGGAGAGCGAGAGGGAACGGCGGCGGCGAGGCGCCTCACCTTGGCGGGCCCGCGCCGCCGAGGCCACGAAAACGGCGGCACCTATGGGAAGGCTCCACAAAGGGTCCGAGACGGCTCCTGTCGCGGAGGCCACGCAGAACGAGGGGCGGCACGATGAGCGTCCGGTTGAGTGAGCGCGCCATGTCGAGCCCGCAGAGCAGGTTGAGGAGCTGGTTGTTCCACCCGTTGTCCGACGCGTAGGTGAAGAAGCGCTCGCTCGAGGGCTCCACGAGGTGCAGCTCGAGGCTACTATCCGCAACCCGTGCCGGAAGCAGCTCGGGGCGGAACTCTCTCGCGCGGCCCTCGCCCACCTTGGCGATGAACTTTTCGTTAAGCGCGTGCGCAAATGACGAGAGCGTCATGGGCGCCTCGCACGCCTCGTCGCTCGCCGCAACGCATGCGGCGAGGCAGCACAGCGAGACCAGGCGTCGCAGCGCGTTCAGGCAGTGCATTAGGAATTCTTCTTCTCGGCCGAAAAAGAATTCAAGCGCGCCCGGGTCTCAGGAGAGGTAGGTACATGTCCATGTACTCGAGTGCATGTCCATGTAGGTGGGTGGGTGTTGCCTCACACGGTCTATTGCAGAGACAAGGAGGGCCCAGAGAACACTTGAGCACTTGAGCACTGGATAGGGTCGGTTCCGCATGGTACGGGACCCCTCGATCGTCTCGCCCACCCTCACTGGAGTGTTCCACTAAGAGTACATGTGCACTGGACATCAGAGGGCCAAGGGTTGGATCAAGCAGTGCCGAGAGCAGCCCGCCTAGAAGCTGGCCATCATGCGCGCGCATGATCGGCGTGCGCGAGCCTTGCCGCCACTCTCTAGACACGCCCGCCCCCTCTCCTCACTCCAGAGAGTGCGGTGGTGCCCCCCTCTCCCATCTCGCGCACTCGCACACCCCATCGACCCACCCCATTGCAGTCGTGCTCATTGCACACACCTCAGCTCAGCTCAGCTCATCACTCTAATTGTAGGTCGGGCTTCCGGCTGAAAAGAAATGCCAGGTCTGGGGCACCGACCCGGGGGGTTTACATTGCTCGCTAACGATTTGAGTTACAGCACGACGTCATCTCGGGGAATGGTCACGGTTACTCAGCGATTGCAAGGTAGTTCCTTGCAGTGGTTGGCTGCCAGATGCCCGACTTGGCTGATGCCGCGGAGAACCGTTGTCTTTTGGGGGGGCGGCAAAGGGGAGGGAGCAGGGTCCAGGGAGGGAGGGAGGGAGGGAGGACAGAACGTTTTGGTTTCTAGGTTTTGTTGTTGGCAAATCAAGACACAGAGCTCACACAGAATCTCAACAACAGTGAACAGGGCTCCAGGCCCCAAATTACGTGTGAGTGTTAGAGTTGTTTGGTATTGCTAAAAATCTCTCTCTCAGAATCTCACAGCGGGAGGAGGAAAGCGGCGAGTCGCAATTCCTGGGGTCCTTGTGGCGGGCCACCCTGTCCAGAAAGGCATGGATGCCAATCTGGTATCTGGGGAGTGTGGGGTCTCTCGACAGAACGTTCTGGTAAAACTCGGGGGTAGGGATTATCCCTCGTCTCGATTTTCTCTCACTAGCAGGTTGGCTCGCTAGTCGCTCGCCGGCCCGCGCAGCACGCGCGGGCCTTTTTTGTGGTCGGATGTTGGTCGTCTCGAATTTGATCGTGGGCAGGGCGTGAGAAAGCTGGACGGCTCGGTCGATGCGAGCCACCAGCTCGTGAGCGACGGGCGCGACGGGTTCCTCGGCGTAGGCTTGGGCGTGGTGAGCAGCGCCGGCGAGAGAGGGACGGCATGCGGCTCCCAAACGAGCCGCACGGGCTTCATCTGGGCCGCCGAGGCCACCTCCTTGGTCGCGGTGGCGGGCGTGAAGGCGAGGTGGGCCGAGGCAAGCGTTGAACGTGCCGCCTTGCGCCCCTGAGGAGGGACGTGCGTGGGGTGCCACGGGCGGGGGGGAGCGGTGAGAGGAGAGCGGTGGGCACCCCCACGAGGGGCTGCGCTGACGCCGCCTGCCACCCCACGCACGCCACTGACGCTGTGGGGGCGGCACGATCGAACGCGCTGGTCGGGCGGGCCGTCTGAGTCGCCCAAGCGGTGCTCTGCCGGCCGG